AATCAGCGTGCCGGGCGCTGTTGTGAAGATAAAGAAGCTTGTAAACGGCAAACATGTTACAAGAATGAAGGCCTTGTCCGATATGGGAGACGTACCATTTGCAATTCAAGCTCCAGTGGCCCACCTACGCACCGAGAATCCAAGATTATGCACACTCTTGCACAGCGAAGTACCTGTCAATGATTTCGCAGTTGACGTCGAGCGAATAGCTTCTACTGCCGTGAATACCAGCAACAATCAAGAAGCGAATGATAGCCAATCCGTGTCGTCGTCGTCTTCTTCAGAAGATGAAGCTAATTTGCCTGAAACGACACATTTATTTACACAACCAACAACCACCATATCTGCAAATCAACTCCTGGTAGCATCAGTAACCCCATCACAAACCATTCGACGTATCAGCAACCCAAGAATTCTAAAAGATATATTCCATCTAATGGATATGATTAAAATCTCAAAACGACATGGTCTTGCAAAAGAGTTTTCCCGTCGTCTTCGAGATGCCATTTTTATAAATAACAATGAAGATCGTCAACGAATCGAGAATCACTTACGCACACAAGGCCTTTCATGGGATTATATGCTACTTCGCAAGCCTGAATGGATTTTACGAAGAGTCCGACGAAGCGTCCCACCAGCTGACGAGCTTCATTCTGTTGTTCAGAACTTGTTTGCCGAGTATGGTCGTCTAGAATGTGCAAAAACCGGTAGACCACTGTTTGACAAGAAAGCTTGGGATCAAGCTCGCCGTATTCTAGCAGCTATAGAAGCAGGAGAGGTATCCGATCACCTGGAATCTCGCTATACTTCAAAATTGGTGTCGATAAGCACAATCTTCCAATGTATCGATGCAGCCGAGGAACAAACTCATTAGAAGGTGGTGTTCACCAAAATATTATTCGCAAGTTTGGCTCTTTTGGTGCAGGCCCACAAATGACTGATAGTATGTTGGCGGACTACCGATTACGACATAATATCGACGTAAGTAACTTTTAGACAGCTATGGTATTATTTAAAATTTTACTTATACTTAGTGTATTTATATCGCATTTAGGTTGGTACAAAAAATAGACATGGAAAGATACACCGAAGTCACTACGATCCATGGCTGCTGCAGATCATATGTGACAAGCTTCTACTGCTCGGCATGGATCATGGAGAACGCGATGATAATCATCCTTCCAGTACACTCATCGTTAAGAACTCCTTGTATCTAAAAATGTCTGGAGAATTATTTGGTATCGCATCCTTTCCACCTCATGCCGCTCAGGATATAAATATTCAAAAAGTTTCTCCAGATCCAGATAACCGACGTTCTGATCCACTTCTGGCGCATAAGCTCAGTGTAAATATCCCATTGCCCAAGGGATCGACCAGTAACGTGCAGCGACAAATGTATATTTATATTGCATCAAAGCTCCAAACAAAGTACGCTGTGACACCTGTTCACACTCCTAAAGAGTATATGCTATTCTCATCCTTACTTTCCAGCGATGGCGACCAGCAAGTTTCATTGAACTGGAAGCAGATGGCTCAGCAGTGGAATCGAGAACACGCAAATGGAATCGATGTATTTTATAAAACTGCCGAAAACTTAAAAACACATTATAACGCTTGGTGCACCAGTCAAGTTGCTGTACGATCCATCAGAAATAACGACAACGTAACGTCTACAATGCGACAACAGCTACAATCACCAGGAAGGGAGAATACCTTGATGCCCTCTCCAAATTTACCAGTCAATGCAGAGGTCATTCCATCTAGCACAAATTCGCTTATGTTCCCCCCTCTATTTTCTAATTACCATTTGTCATCTCCGTCTTTACCCTCGGCTTCTAACTATTCATCACCGTCAACAGCATTATTGCCAGCTTATCACCAACCACAAATATCTACTTCTGAGCGACCACCCCACAACATATCTCATCCACCAGCTAACGTCTCACTACCATTGCTACCACCACCTCTTTTTACTTAGTGTCCGTACCAACAAGCGCAACAACTTTTTTATGGGCAACCGCAATCGACACATACAGCAACCGTTCCGCCAACTCAACCTCCGCCTACAACAACGACCGCATTTGCACAGCAATTACCTGCTGCATACCGTCAAGTTATACCAAAACCAACATCAGCAGCATCATCATCAAGAGTAATCCCTCAATCTACTTGGAAACTGCCTAAGTACCGTACACGTATTGATAAACCAAAACAATAGTTACATATATCTTCTTACTATATCATATCACCGTATTTCTCTATCTGTCTATAACAATTATAATGGCAAGGATATATATTTCCCCATTATTTGCAGCTTTTCCTCTCTTCCTTCTTATCGTGATAAAGCTCAATCTTTCATTTTTGGCAAGCGCTGTGCGCTTGCCAAAAATGAAAGAATTAATTCCATCAGGTCCGGACATGTTACCCATGCCAAGAAGTGTGCACTTGCTTTTTCTCCTAGTTATTTTTCTTTTGTGCATTCTTCCTATAAATTGACCCTGCCGATGTCATCCACCCCCTCATTAAGTGTGCATCTGAAGATATCAAACCAGGGACAGCATCTTTAGTAATGGTATCAGACTGGGTCGTCTTTTACTGTTTCTCCTATGTATAAGCGTTATCCGTAATGCCATTACATCCGTTCCTGTTAAGGCAGAAATACTCATAGCTTATCAAATACTGATTATATGATAACTTCAAATATTGTTGATCTATTTCGCTCTGTATATCAGTGGTATAGTTGTATAAAAAAATTATACCAATCAATTGAAGTCGTCTTTGATGATGCGCATGTGATAGCATACATCCGGTTAGGGAGGATCCGTAAAAGCATTCATCTATGCTTTAGATCCGGAAGTAGCTCGTTCTTCCGTCAATTAGTGCTAAGCTCTGTCATGCTGAGCAGAGAAAGGACGAAAAGACAGCAACTCAGCAAGCGCCAATAGCAGCGATCTGACGTTTTAGGAAACTGTCATCTTAATTTTCATGATTGTCTTCATGGCGACATTTCCCGAAGGATGATATCTGCCTTTGCGAACTGGGTCGTGATTGCCACCAAGATTTGAAAACACATGGATATCCGTGAACGATGTAGTTTTTGATAGAAGTAAAAAAAGAGCAAGACATTAAAGATATAAAAGGGGCGAAAAAAAAAGTTGTTTGAAGACATACAATTCTATTTATTATTGTTCCAGATAACGGTAGGCATTCCCAATATTCCTCACATATAGCTAGTTCTCTATTTCATACCGATAATCACATACCTGTTTAATCACTAATTACATACCTTGGAATAGCTACTCTAACCTTCCACCATGAATCCGTCTTCTTTGTCCATCCCTGGTAAACGAAACTCCTCTGCTCTCGATAATGACTGGTCTGATGAAGTAAGTTGACCCTTTATTCTATAAGAATATCAGTATATCCTCACTTACCTGATCCAACACATTTATTTGACTTTAAATAGGATTCGTCAATGCCTGACCGTATGGGTAGCTCGCCTTCTACAGCCCGCCAGTTTTCTGCGATGTCCACCGACCATGACAATGCGGCGATTGACAACACCAGTGACGGCGAAACCGGTGCATTGACCTCCGTGCAACACCAGCCGAAAGGAAAAGGGGTTAAAGCACACAAGAGCTGGCTGTACAAATGGTTCGAGGGCGTAAACGACGCCCAGAATATCACCTACTACTACTGCCGCTATCCCATGGGAGACAAGTTCTGCAATAAAAAGTACAAGGATCCACAAGGAATAACCACCGGCCTTACAAAACATTTGTTGAAGCACGGTATCACTAAGGACACGCCCGTCGATGCACCACCAAAAGATAATACACTCTACACTTACTTGGGAGGCAGCACCATGCTGCATTTCCAACAGTTTGATCCAGAGGTCTTCCGCAGGGTGCTGTGTTTGTTCATTGTGACTGCTGCATTGCCATTCATGATTGTCAAAAATCCCTACTTATAGTGATTGTTGAACCCCGTGCAATCAGCCCCAAGTCTCACCCACGTCAAACTTCCAAGCGACAGTACTGCCTCCCATAATTTGCTTACTATGTACCAGGTTCAGCGAGGCCGTATTGATGTCATCCTGCAAGCTCAGCCGTGGCTCTCATACACTGTCGATGCTTGGACAAGTGAATGGAAGGTTCCGTTTCTTGGTATCACTGCCCACTGGATCGATGACGACTGGAACCAACAGTCCATTGCCTTAGGTCTCCAGCTTCTCTCCGGCCCTCACACTGGTGCCAACATGGCGGGGGCGTTCCTGAAAGTTTCGGACGATTGGAGCCTTGTGTCCAAGCCGTTCTTTCTGACTACCGACAATGCATCCAATATGACGACAATGGCCACAGAGATTGAACTTGCTGTTGGACGCGATGTCTTTGATGCCGAAGAGAATCGTATCCCCTGCATCACGCATATAATCAATTTGGCGGTGCAAGCGATCCTCCACAAAGGTTTAGAAGCAGAAGCGTACGACAATGCAGAGCAAGCCTTAGACAGTAACAACCAAGAAATAACTACAACCATCAATGCAGGTAAATAAGCAAAAAAAAGCAATATCTACCCATCAACATGTGTATAGTAATTAAACTTAATTTACCTTAGGCAAAACGTTGCGTAAGCTTCGCAAAGGGATTGTTGCCATCAGAGTGTCTCCACAAAGACTGGATCATTATCATAGCTCATTCAAGGTCGTTGCCCACCAACATCCAGGTACTGATGATAACGACGAAGCCATAGATCAGGACGAGATTGAAGATCGCCGTGAGCTGGTATTGGACGTTCGCACTCGTTGGAATTCCATATATGCCATGGTCCAAAGAGCTCTTACAGTCAAGCGTGCATACAATATGATGTGCTGGAATCTCGAGGCCCTTCAAGGATACTTCTTGAAAGGTGACAAATGGACATGTCTAGAGAAGGTGGCTGAGTTACTCCATGAGTTTGCCTGAATGGCCCCATTGCTGTCTGGCGCTAGCTACGCAACTATGAACCTGGTCATTCTTGCTTACAACCGTTTGCTTGAAAAGCTCGAACTATACATGGATAAATGTGAGGATGTAGGTTATAACTCTATACTGTATATGCGTATTTCCATCGAACACTATCTATCACATACTTACACGACTACTTCTTCATATGTTAGACGTGGCCTGAGCTAGTGCACGCAACACAATGCGGTTGGGAAAAGCTCAAAGGGTACTACTGCAAGGCTCAAGGCCACTCTTTTGCCGTTGCTACTGCCATGGACCCTCGATTAAAATACGAATGGTGGGAAGACGAGAAATGGGGAGAGTATCGCGAGGAGGCTATTGAGATGGTGCAGAAGACGTGGCAAACATATAAGCCATCAAGAACGCAAGAACCATCCCCATCAAACCCGGATGCGTTGATCAAGAAGAGGAGATCGAACACGGACCAGCTGGAAAGATATGTTTCCACGGATACAGTAATCAACGAGTCCGACGGTGAGCATACTTCGATCGTTTTGGAGTTCTGGTGGAGGGACGTTAACAGTGGCTAAGAGTTGAGGCAAATGGCACGCCGATACTTGGCGATTCCAGCCTCATCAACAGGATCTGAACGGCTTTTCTCCGGTGCCAAGCAATATATTCCAAGTGAATGGAATCGGCTTGGGTATAGCAAACTGGAAGCAAGTGTGCTGCTTGACTCGTGGTCTAAGTATTTTGGTGAAGATTAAGAAGGAGTTGCTGTTCGCCGTTTCCACGTTGTGTTAGAGAAAACAAACAGCGGTTCTACAATTCTTCGCACTCACCCTCCTTTTTTTACTTCCCTTTCCCTTGACCTACGGTCACCTACAAAAAAAATTCTACTTCCCTTTCCCTCCCTTTTTTTCATTATTTCAAAGCCATTGCCTCATTGATCGTTCGACTTCTTTATTACTTTCTTCCAGTAGCTATGCCCTGGTTGCTTTTTCTTCTTCCCTATCCTCTTCTTTTTTTCTGATGTTCACTACTGCTAAATTTAATAAATGCCACCTTGTACCATCTAAAGCTTACTTTTCAGTAATTTGTATTCAAAACTTAACTCTATACTCGGATTTCGGATTTGATCCGGATTTATACGAAACGGATTCGGATCCCATATTTACAATCCGGATCCATTCCGGATTGCAAAAGAGCTGATCCGTTTTATACAAAACGGATTCGGAATCGCTCGATCCGTTTCGAATCCGTTAATGACAACCCCTAGGTAAGATGGACCTTTTAACAAATGGCTGCAAATGCTACAAAAGAAGTAAAGCTCTCTGCTGAACCTTAGTATATATACAAGATAGAGAAGGGGTTTACCACTTGTGGTTGTACAAAGCGCTGTGATATATAGGTGCCATAGACTAGCCCTAGCCGTTTCAAAAAAATCATGGAAACGGATTTCGGAAATTAGTTCCTCCGAACGGTTAATCATATAACCGAACCAAAATCCGTTTTTCAGTTTTGGGTAGTTTTGGGTTTTTTAACTTCTTCCTCAAAATGAAACCGCAAAATCAGCAACAAATCTAATCCCAAGAAACACCTGAGCAACCTCAATTGAAAAGATGCAGTAATTGCAAATCTTATCGCCCTTTGCTATTTTTTGTTGGCAATAGACAAGATTACAATACGTGTAGAAAATGCCGTGAACACCAAAGTGACGTCGGTAAACCAATCGCAGGGCAGTTACTCCTGACAATGGATGAAGTACTCGACATGATCCCTTTGCATCAAAGTTTGAGGAACGTAGCTGACAGTCTTGAAGATTACAGCCTCGACACGTATGTGCAACTAGACGACGATATATTGGCGTTGTCAGATTCACAACTTGTAATCAACATCCGCAATCGTATCGAGGCTGTTGACGGATACTATTACTACGAAGCATAGACGCATATGCATTACCAACTGTTTTTATATAAAAACTATTGGTAACAAATTTTTTGTTAGTAACAAAAATTTAAAATGGTTTCTAATTAATTTTTCTATATATATAAATTTATTTAAATATAATATTTTAAATAAAGGATTAATATGGTATCATGTGATATTTATAATAAAATATAATAAAGTCATAATAAGAATTAAAGCTTTTCTTCATCCCTTGATGCAATTATATGTCATTTTGTTTATGAAAATATTAAATATGTTTTTAACATATTATTTAAATACCATGTATTCTATTTATTAGAGAATCATCTGGTAAACTTGGTAATTAATCAAATAATTTCCTAAAAATCCTATTTATAAACAATTTGATAAAAAATATTTATTTTGGGTCTACTTTTCAAAAAATCCATTTATTAACATTTTTTATTTAGAAACAATTATTATCAATTACTTTGTTTTTAATATCTTTTATAATAAATTATTATTAAAAAATACTTTAATAAAAGGGATAATTAAAATAATAAACACACACAATCCCTCTAACATATATCCGCTATAAGCGGATTATATATTGTTTGAAAAACCTTTAGGTTTTGAGTTTATATTGCGGAATATATTCCGCATCATTATAATTATTTTAATTTTAATTTTTAAACATGGATAGTAATCCGTAATAAAATTAAATTATTAAATTTAGAAAAAGATAAAAACATCGTTTTTATTCTTTTCTTGAATATATATTTTTAAATATTTTCTCATCTGAGAAAATTATAAAATAAAAATAATAATGCGGATTATTATCCACGTCTAAATATAATATAATAATGCGGATTTATATCCGCATCTAAATAAAACTCAAAACCTAAAGGTTTTTCAAACAATGTACAAGATTGAAAATCTTGATAGATTATCTGCTTTTAGCAGATTTAATATCGGAGAGATAAAAAGATGATGATTATTTTATTTAGACATTGAAAAACAATTATTTCTAATAAAAATAATTATGTTTTTGTAACTAACAAGGTAATGTAGTACCTATATACCGAACAGAACTACGAAGAAAGTTCGGCTATTCTTTTCTTTTTCAATCCTCGTAAGATTTCGATGTGCAGGGTTAAGCTGCCATTCATTTACGATTGTATCGGCGTATGGCAACTTTCTTGTGCAATGGTCGCATCAGTGGCATGGTCGATAGAGTGAATGGTTACTTTCACTTAAATATCGAATACTCCTGTAGGCATAGGGCTGCACCTACCGTCGAAAATTACGGCGTCCCACAAAATGTACGTGCATACATTGCTGCAAATGCCATCGACTTGGATGCATAATAGCTGCATCGCAACATTACCTGTCAGTTTCAACAAGAAGCGACAAGAATAACGCAGGGGCAAGTGTATTACTGGGCGTGCCAGTCGATCCAAGACCAATATACACTGCATAACAACTAGTTCAGATCAGCAGAGATACTCGTTGACAGAGCCGCTGACAAGGGTGTCCGTAAGGTATGCCCAAATGTCCTAATTGATTAGCTACTACTTAATATTAAATACATGTGAGGATCGTGTATACAATCACTTCGACACGTTGATAAATAGACAAGAACCATTAATAATAGAATCAATAAAATTCAATAACCAATAAACAGATTTTCACCTCAGCACAAAGCAATTACTTGGCTATTGGTTTTACCATGCCATTATTTGATGTAATTTGTGGATCACAGCAACTAGCAGAGGAATACCACGTCGATTCTACATACAAAACAAACCAAGCAGGATACGAACTATTTGGGATAGTTGCAACTGTAAACGGTGCTGGGTTTCCGATTGCATACATGCTTCTGAAGCTTACACCACAAAGTCAGCTAGTAAACGATGGCGAGGATGATACATTTCATGTTAGTGTTATTGCCGAATTTTTTGCATGCTTAAAGCAAGCTGGTCTTCAACCCAAGTTCATATTTATGGACAAGGACTGGGGACAGATCTGTGCTATAGAAGCAGTCTGGACAAATGGGAGAGTGCTTAGACTATGTCTGTGGCATCTTGTTCGCTCGGTGAAAAGGTGAAGAAACACTTAGCAGAACCCAAAACAGCAAGACCGCAAAATATTTCAGACGAGGCTCGAGGTTTATTTCCCTCTATAAGTGCAATGTTTCGTCCTAGGGAAGATAGAACTGGCAGTTTATGCAGTGACCTGGAAAATCGAAATGCCATTATAGATATGATGCGAAAGCATTATAATTCGCACCCGTTAATTGCACTCGAAGGAGGTAGGTAGAACATTATGTCGATCCATAAATCATATCATAATCTATACTATTAAAATCTTTAAAAGTTAGCTGAAAAATCCAAAAAAGGAAGGTGGCTCTACAGCGGTGCTTTAGTTTCTATAAATCCACAATGTCATTTACTCCACTCCCATCTGATGAAAAGATCTGTGCAAAATTGAGCAAGTACACGGTCATCCGGGATAAATAAGAAAGAGCCTCATTAAGCATCAAATATCTGTATATACTCCAAGAGAGGCAATGTATTTTATGGATGAAGCAATGACCGAATTATATCTTTGCTGTAGATCATATTTTTTTACTACCTTTCACTGTCATACCATAAAGGATTAGTAGTAGTAGTAGTAGTAGTAGTGGCTGATTGGGTTCAGGGTGTTGATGCTGACAAACTTGCAACACCTATAACACACAAAAAAGGAAGTTGTCATCGTGCTGTTCACGCGTCCTGAATCTGTCTTTACGCGCTTTTGAGTAGTCCCTGTACTTTTTTTTTGTTTACCTACAACCATTCGTTTTCAGCTTATATACTTTAAATGAGCATTCGAATCTGTGCTTCATGCCATTAGTCTGGGCACTCGAGTAGAACACACCGGGATTGCTTACTGAATCCGGCTCGCTTAGCTGCGCGTGAGCAGAATGAAATTCAATTCATCTTTGAGCACCATCAAAGAGTTGATCCAATTGTTGAAGAAATTCAAATGGCCAGCCCGAGCGTTGAAGATCCTGTCTCCGAGATTAATCAAGATCAAAGTGTTAATCCGAGCGATGAGATTGTAAGCGATAATTTTCGAATAGACAATGATGTGACTAAAAATTAACACATGTTTGTAACAGTCAGAGACGGTTCCTCGGTGCGCAAGCTGTGGCCAACTTGGACATTCACGTAGAGGTTTCTGTAGTTGCCCACTTAATCCAAGGAATCTGCAAGCTGATATCTCAACTGAGCCTCAAGTAATTAACAATCTCTCCTGTATAGGCTATACAGTCTATAATTCTAATATCGCGTTTCTTTTTCTTTTGCAGTTTCATCCCGCCATCGGACGTATCCGTGCAAACCATATTCCTGATCGCCATTCACTTGGATTAATGGATCGTGAGTGTTCGTATTGTCACGCGCGTATGTGGGTGCAAGAGCGTGTATCAGCATCTTCGGAGACATCACCTGAATTCCAGCTATGCTGTGCCAAAGGGTCCGTTACTCTTCCTCCGCTGAGTGAAACTCCACCAGAGATAGCAGAGCTATTATGTGGTGATGACCGTGCCTCGCAGGATTTCCGTAAAAACATTCGTGCATACAACAATGCTTTGAGTTTTACGTCCCTTGGTGCCAGCGTTGATCAAACTGTAGCAAACTTGCGAGGTGGTGCATACAACTTTTGGATCCATGGCACCATGCACCATATGATTGGGTCTTTGCTCCCTAATACGGATGAGGATACCCCAGCTTTTGCACAAATCTACGTCTATGATCCTTCCATGGAATTGCAAATACGTCAGAATGCCACGAATGCCCCTGTGAACACAGATACTTTGCACACTTTGCAGGAGCTAATGCATCGTGTTTGCCCCTTTGCCTAAGCTTTCCAAAACATGGCCGATGGCTATCGTGACGACAATGTCGAAAACGTTACATTAGTGATTCGCGCAGAGGGTACCCCGGATCAAAGGCGGTATAATAGACCAACAGGTGATGAAGTTGGAATCCTGATTGTGGATAACACGCATGACGGCCAGGTTGGGAACCGCGACATTGTTGTGCGAACTTGGTCAAATCAATTGCAGCGTATCTCAGAGAAGCATCGTTTCTATGACGCCATGCATTATGTATTGATATTTCCTCAAGGTAATATTAAGCTCTAATCGTCTGCTGTAGTGCGTAATTCTAACTTACACAATTCCAGGTGATGAGGGTTGGACCATCGAAGCGTGCAATGACAATGGTGCTCACATAACAGTGATGGAATGGTATAAATATCGTCTGATGGTGCGCGAGAACGGTGACGACGACAATGGACACGATCTGCATCGCTTCAGTAAGCTGTTTCAACAGTTTATTACTGACATGTATGCCAAGATAGAATCCGGACGCCTTGGCTACATCACGCAGAACCAGGACAAGCTACGTTCAGATTTGTACAATAGTGTTGTAGATGCCATGAATCTGGGAGACAATGATATGGCCAACGTCGGTAGACGTGTGATTTTACCATCGTCTTTCACCGGTGGCCCGCGGCATATGCAACAGCTCTATCATGATGCCATGAGTATCGTGCGGCGCTTTGGAAAGCCTGATCTTTTCGTTACATTTACGTGTAACCCGCGATGGCACGAGATACAAGATTCTCTTCTTCCAGGACAGACAGCGCCCGACAGACCGGATATATGTGTTCGGGTATTCAAAATGAAACTGAAACAGTTGATGGATGATCTTACCAAAAACATGGTTCTGGGCACAGTGATTGCACATGTCTACACTGTCGAATTTCAAAAACGCGGGCTACCACATGCTCATATCCTCTTGATCCTTGCCAGAGATAATAAACCAACGACACCTGAAGATGTGGATGATATTGTATCGGCCGAGCTTCCCAACTCGGAGCAATACCCAGCCGCACGCGCAACAGTGGAAAGACACATGATGCATGGACCCTGTGGTGACCGTCATCCTCGATCGCCATGCATGCAAGACGGTGCTTGTTCAAAACGCTTT